TCTGCATGTGTGTGTGCGTGTCTGCATGTGTGTATGCGTGTCTGCATGTGTGTATGCGTGTCTGCATGTGTGTATGCGTGTCTGCATGTGTGTATGCGTGTGTGTGTGTGTGTGTGTGTGAGTGTCTGCATGTGTGTGCTCTGACCTTTGGTCTTCTTTCCGCCAAAGCAGCCGGCATCATCCTTCTTCTTCCTCTGCGGCCCCACCGATCCTGGCGCCTGATTGGTTGAGGGCTCCTGGAATTTCTCTGCCCCTGGCACCTCTTTATGCACGTGATAGGACAGGTTCCGCATAATGCACACACAGTTCTCCACCGACTGGCAAGGCACAGATATAAAAAAAAAAAAAAAAAAAAGCCACGTAGGGCATCACACTCTGTACATGGGAGCATGTGTGCATGCGTGTGTGTGTGCATGCGTGTGTGCGTGTGTGTGTGCATGCGTGTGCGCGGACCCACCTTGTTATCCATGTCCTTCTTGCCCACTGCCGACTGCAGGGCATGCAGCAGTGCATCCACTAGACCCTCACACTCCCGCAGCCTGCGTCGTGCCTCTGCCCCGTCTGAGCTCACATTCCTGCAGCAGGTGACACGGCAAAGTCAGAGAAACCAGCTGTCAACGCGGGACACACCGCTGTGCCGTCAACACGCCCCGAAAAATACAAAGCTTTATGTCACTTCAGACCCCCTTTAGCAAGGCCTCGGTCTTTCAGAGGGTTAGGGGCCGCTCTCCGTGTTTGGGGGCTCCCAGGGGCCCGTCGTGCACCGGGCGGTTCCCAGAGCGGCGTCCCGTTAGTCTCCGATGCCGTCTGGTCGTTAGGGCACTTGAAGCTGATTAAAACTAATTAACAGAGGAGTGCAGATGCCGACCACCATATGGAGCAGGGACTCTGTTCGCCTTTTTACGCAACCGGCTCTTGCACCTTGGCGATGCCATCTGGCTTGCAGCTTGAAGCGTCTCTTCGTTTGTTTATAATAGACGCTGCGGCCGCACGGATCCGCCGCCTTTCTCCCGCTCTCGTTATAGCTCTCTCCTCTTTTATTTAGTACCTATTTCCTGCCATTACTGCATTTTAGGGAGGGCCGGGGGTCACAGCGTAGGACTCCACTTTTGGTGCTGCATGTTTGTTTCGTGTGGGTGCCCTGTCATTAATCATCTTAATGATGGACGTCCCCTTAGGCCATGATGAGTCTTGGAAACAAAAGGGCCTGACCTTTGTGATCTGTCCCCAAAGCTCATGGAGAACCTTTTATTTTACAACAGTCAATAACATAGCAACCTCACAGAAGGTCATCTGTGGGCTATCGCCACAGCAACCTTTTCACCTCAAGGTCAATGACGTCCTTGACAGGACCCTAATAACTATTTCAAGTCATCGGTCAAGATAGCACGGCTTCAGAAACGATTTGGAGATGGAAGCACGGAAGCTGGCAGTAAATCTGTTTACTAAGTTAGCTAGTGAATATAACTTATTTGTTTATCAGCAAATTGCCCCATCATTTATGCAAGATGCTTCAGCAGCCCAAAATTAAGTCGATTTCAGTTTCATCAAGAAACAATAATAAATTCACCCAGACGGCAACAGCACACAACCCGGGTCTGTTTACTGGCAAAGTGGCATCGCTGCTAGGCAACTTACTAGGCAACAGATGTCACGGGTTACCGTTTCCATAGAGACATGGCTCCACAGCCAGTTCAGAGGCACACAGGAGACGCAGAACTGCTGGGTATCAAATAACTCAAGGAGGGTCCTGGTTGAGGCCTGGGTTCAAGGTTTGCGGTTGAGGTTGGGTCAAAGTTAGCAATGGGAAGAGACTGTAACACTGAACTGCATCAAGCCTTAAAGCCACGCAGCACTGTGTCCGACCCTCCCACCAGTCGTTCATGGTCCAATCTGTAATGGCTGCTGTCCTGCTGGCCTCCCCGAGGTGGAAACTGGACCACTGGGGTAATCGGCATACAGCGCAAGGACAGCGAGATCATCCAACCTTCCCCACCATGCATAGGTGACCTAAGCAGCCCCAGATGTCTAAGAGGAGAAGCCAAAGGAATTTAATCTGGAATGTGTTAAACTGGGAACTGGGGGTGGGGGAACAAGTGTTTGGCTGGAGCCAGGCCAGCTACTGGGGGGGAGGTTATGGGCCTAATGGTGGACAGACAGCCCCCCAGAACACGTGCATACCTCTACAACTTCTGTGGAGCAGGCCCTGCCAGAACTGTAAGTGTGTAATTCAAACCAGAGCCAAAGGGGGCAGTGTGTGTGTAAATGTGTATATGTGTGTGTGTGTTAATGTGTGTGTGTATCGTGCACAGAGCAGAATGCACTTGAATATCTACTTGAATATAAACACATATCCAGGGCAGTGTGAACATCTCCGCTCCTCAGGTTCACTGCTCCTTGGCTTTGGCACCGTGTCACTCAGCTGTGCGCTAACGATGCAGCATAGCGACACCGGGTGACAGCAAGGTGACGACACCACAGGCTTCTCACAGGAAGTCCAGCTCACTTCGATTTGGCAGTTCTGACATCCAGCCAGAGGCCAGCAGTTTGTGGGGGTGTCCAGCCCGCGAGCCACGCGTCACCTAAACGTGTAGGATGTCAGCAGGGCCGGTCACATGCGGTAGGTGCTGTAGTCGCAGAAAGCAAGCTGCAGGGGGCGCTCAAGTGTCAGTTGCCTCTGTATCCCAATGAGACAGAGAATCGATACGAGTGCAAGGTCACCGCCGGAGAGCAAAAAAACACTAAATGTTCCAGGAGCCGCAGAGGTGAACCCAGAGAGGTCAAGATACTTTCAATCACTACAGGCAGAAATCTGACAAAGAGGTCCAGCTGTTCCATGGAGAGACATGTCAGGCCAGCAGCCGTACGGATCCACTTGTGTCCGGCATGGCTTTCCATGTCATTTGGCAGTTTCTCTTAGCCCACGTGCAAAAACCCAGACAACAAAAGGACAAGAAACAGCAGCTCGCAAAAAAAAACAAATGACGCAAGCGCTTGCTAACACCGAGGCTGGGAAGGGGGGGGATGGCGGGTTTGCTGCGGGTTGAGTAACCGTGGCGATAGCGCTAACCCTCTTAGCGCCAGATATTCAGCCGAGGGTGGAGCCTTTCAGGCAGCCCCTCCGGATCCCGTGTGCAGAGGGGGCCTCCGTCATTAGTCATCAGCACTAATGGGAGCAAATCGGAATGACTGGGGCGACTGGAACTGGCGTCCCTGACCGTGAAATGGGCCGCAGCCAATGTGAAAGCGGGCCATCCTCCGCGGCCGCTAATGGCTCCTCTCTTCATTCACGTCTTATCCGGGGGGCCTGGGGTAGAGCTGTACCATCTATGAATGTTTCCCAAAGCAGAGCTTTCATGGAGATAGATACATTTAATGGCTGCATCCTGCCCATAACCTGCAACTACAATTAACTAAAAGCATTTGCTTATTAATAAATGGTGAGCAGATTCTGGGGGGCTCAGTGTGCCTGTGATCAGATGGTCGCAGGTTCAAATCCCCTCCTCGGCAGAATAGTCACATTACATCACTCCCTTGAGCAAAGCCCTTACCCCCCCAAAATATAATACTCCAGGTGTGCCGGAATATGCCGGAAATGCCCTGACCCTGTGCTCAGACCGCATGTGTTGATCTCAACTATATGTGTGTGCGTATATCTCAAAGCAGAGCAAGATGAGATATGTGAAAAGCAGCACTCCAATATACTTGTAGTCTTAAATTTATAAATGGAAAACTAAGCATCGTTTCATCTGGTAATACAGCCTTCCATGGTTCACGTGGGGAAAAGCGAGGCCTTGTGGTCACATGACCATACCTGAGGCATCCCGACGTGTTTTTGAAGACCGTGGTCCACTCGGCGTCGCGTGGCTTTGAGTCCTCGTTCGGCTCCTGCTCCCAGCCCGAGTGGGGAATGATGACCTCGTTGGTGAGGGTCTGCAGCCCGTGGTTGATGATGACCATCTTCAGTGGCTCATAAGAGGAGAGGTTCCACAATGTTCCTGATAAAAAAGGGAGGTGCAGGTGAATACTGGTCAGCCTGAGGGGGGGGGGGGCGTGGTAGCCTTTACACCATAATCTGCTCCTTCTGTTGATAGTTTTCGGACACCTAGAGAACGTGTCGAATGTGACAATCCGGGTTCGGCCGTAACGACACATGAGGGCGTGAGCTGTACAGAGAACATGGAGCCAAATGACAGCCAAAGCTCCAAATGACAGCCAAAGCACCAAATGACAGCCAAACAAAATAATCAGGCCATGAGCTGGTGTTACAAACAGCCGTGCGAGATCAGAAGCCAAGGAGAGCTGGGTTAACAGCATATTAATAGATGACTTCAGAATCCAAACACGTATGCGGCCAAATCTCTGTTTTATTAACTCGAAAACGCCCCCAGCCACATCGTGTAAACAGCTCCATAGTGGGGGCAGGAATGAACGGCAAGGCTGGGGAAAGGGGGAAGGATTCCCACAGCACGCCCAGGGACACTCACACAAACAAGAATACAAGCACATGTGACACCCAGGCAGAAACAGCGTGCAGGAAAGTAACAAGGCTAGTCGAGTCTGTCCGTAACACAGCTAACAGATTCTGCCCGTCACACGGCCAACAGAGTCTGCCCGTCACACGGCCAACAGAGTCTGCCCGTCACACGGCCAACAGAGTCTGCCCGTC